TGCACACATATTTTGCGCAATGAGGCATGAAAATATGGATTCCGTTCCAAGTGGTCTTATTTGCCAAAGATGGACAAAAAAAGCTAAACTTGATTCCATGTCCTCAATTGATGGTAACGGTGATGATTCTGAGTTATCCAACTTGGATATGTTGAGGTCTGGTGCTATCTCTGCTGCATGTAACAGGTTGTATAGAGTGGCCTGTAAAAAATCATCGCTTTATTCTGAGTTCATTGCAGACATTGAGAGTTTGATAGACAAATTTGAAAAGCGTTGTGATAATGCACTTAATCAGAATAATGGCTCTAAGGTTCGTGATCCAACAATTGTGAAGACTAAAGGTGCTCCTCGTAAGGACAGAAATACTAGAAAGAGGAGAAAATGTGGACATTGTAAGCGACATGGTCATACGATACGCAAATGTCCTACATTGATCAATCGTGATCAACTACATGTGCTTGAGGAGGGGGAGGAGGAGGTGGAGGGCAATGACGAGTCATCTGAGCAATCTGATGATATCAGCACCACTATTAATGTAAGATCACTTTGCTTCTATAACCATTGGCTTGTAAGTAAGCAATTGGATTAAATATTTTTCTTTTAATCATTTCTTTGTTATTAAGGGCAATGTTCCTATGCTTGGAAGTAAAGGAAGAAAAAATAAAAAGAAGAGGAAAAACACAGAAGATCCTGCTAAATGTGCAAACACCAATGATGTAAGTTCTTAAATGGAATTTCAAATTATTTTTAGTTACCATGTTTTGAAATTGTATTAATTATGTATAAATGCATATGGCATAGAGGGAATGTTAGTCATATCAATTTATTAGTGACTAATTCTAATGTAAGACTTCCTTTACCGACTTTCATGGACAGTATTACATAAATTGAGTAACTTGTACGTATTTTCAGGAATAAGAATGAAAGTTAAATATAAATAAGTTCATAGATTACATATTAATTTGAGACTGTTAACATTTTTAATACAGAGTAAATTTAACCAGTTAAAATTTAACCTGGAAATGAAACATAGCAGGCAAACACTTCTAAGTAGAGCAGTATAGCAGCCGAACACTTCCCACGAAAACTGACTTTCCTTTATCTGTCTTCACTATTTTTAACAGAATAAAACTGCATTTTATCATATATTCACTATTTTTATAGGTTGAACTTGCAAATGGCAGAATGCTTGCACAAGATCGTCATCACCAAGGAGGACATATACAAATGCCTGCTTATAACAACATACCAGTCCATCATACTAATTACAATGGTTATATGACATCCAATTGGCAATTTTATCCTCAATATCCGACTCAGCCTGCTACAATGTTTCATGCACACACATATGGAGGATTGCATCAGGGATACCCATACCATGGATATCATAATTCGGTGCTTATTTTGTTATTGAACGATTACATACATAGTATTGATTTTTAAATATTCGTATATATAATGCATTTTTTGTATTTGCAGTTTGTGAGTACTTTAAAGGAGGTTGAAAGAAATGCAAAAGATGGAATAAAAAATGGAAAAGGGGGTTGATACGTGTGTAAGTGTGTATATATATGGAGTATATGTTATAAGTGTATACTATCGTATATGTTAATGTCAACGCTCTGCACACATTTTCTCATTTAGTCTGGAGTATATTTTGTTGCCGATTTTACTTGATAACTGTATTTGTATTTGTGTAAATGCTGCAGTTTTAGTATGTTACATACTGACTATTTTTTGTGTCATTTCATTCATTCCACAGGATATATTGCTTCCAATTATACCACTGATGTTCTGACTTCTATGAGAAACTTCTTCGGGAGTTCATAAAGGCTCAATGAGTGATAGGTCTTTCTGAGGATTATATTCGATGACAGGGATAGACTATACAATTCACATTGTTGATTGAGGCAGAAGCAAACCACATGCGATTTCTTATTGTGAATTTTGTTTATTCTATATATTAATATATAGCATGAACACCATTTGTTTTGTCTACAACACATCATGAATTAATTATACAATCGTTGTGCTCAATGTATACCTCAAAGCTTCAATGAAGTCTTAATTGGTTTAGAGAAACACTATTGCCAATATGCAGAGTTTGTGTAGCCGTTTATTCATAAATTTGAGATAGACATTAGTGAACATATGGCTTGAAACTAGTATCCCAATTAGATTAGACTATCACCAGAGTTCTAGTATCGTTGGTATCAGGTAGTTGTGGGATTGAATTAAGATCTGCCAGCTCTACTAATCCTTTTGGTAGCAAGAATTTGACATCGCTTGCATCACCTAAGCTGATACTGACAAATGAGTGTAGTAACTATCTGTTTTAAAGCATATTTGGGTGATAGATGATGTGAATTTGCTATCAGCAGTCCTAATTAAAGCAAGACAATTCCAATATTTGTGGATTGAGAAGTTTGACATGATTGGCAGATAAAAAGAAGTGAGCTCTTAGGGTTTTTAAGATATGGATACACGATGATACAAAAAGAGTGTTTATTCTTTCAAGATATGAAAGTATCGTTACGGATGCAGAATCAATTTCTCAGACATCTTAATGTTGTAGTTCAAGCTAACTTCAATTAAAAGGGACAAATCTTAATCTGGATGTAATTATCATTTTTTTAAAAAAATTGGATGGATAACGTTCTGCCTATGTTTATTCTATATATTTGTTTAGTAATTTATATTGGAAAAATAGCCCTAAACATTACTTATTAAAAATTATAGACAAAAATGTGACAATAAGTTATTCTTGGTAAGTTTTACAATCACTACAATGTAATATTTGAATATAAATAGTCACCAAATTACTAGAATAACATTTTAATAATAATCCAGATTTATTTTCGCTAGTGTAGGACTGTGCTAATATTTTAATAATATAATATTTTCATTAATATCATAATTTAATAATAGTAGTAATTTTATCAATAATATAGTAATAATAAAATTAAATAATACTAGTAACAAAAAGTGACAAGGTATGAATACTTAGATAATAATTTCAATGCCAATATTATTATTATTATTATTATTACATTATTGTTATTATTACTATTATTATTCTTATGACAGAAACAAAAGTGTTTTATTGCATTAATTTTGAAGGTTCATGTTTTGCACTTAGTTTGTTATTCAACTCCATGTGACTATTTCAAGTCAAAAAACACAATAAAAATACAACTACAAATAGTAGTAAAAGTAATGATAATAGTAGTAGTAGTAGTAGTAATAATAATAATAATAATAATAATAATAATAATAATAATAATAATAATAATAATAATAATAATAATAATAATAATAATAATAATAATAATAATAATAATAATAATAATAATAATAATAATAATAATAATAATAATAATAATAATAATAATAATAATAATAATAATAATAATAATAATAATAATAATAATAATAATAATAATAATACACAGTATTGGTTTTGATAAAAACATATATTCACCTCTACACGTAGAGCCTCATCGATTGAAGTATACTAGAAGACAGTATTTTGAATAATATATTCGGAGGAGGAGGAGGAGGAGGAGGAGGAGGAGCATGAGGATGATGATCATGAGGATGGTAATGATGATCATGAGGATGATGATGAGGAGGAGGAGGAGGAGTATGATGATGATGATCATGAGGATGGTAATGATGATCATGAGGATGATGATGATGATGAGGAGGAGGAGGAGGAGGAGGATGATCATGAGGAGGATGATGAGGATGATGATGATCATGAGAATGATGATGATGATCACGATGATGATGATGATCACGAGGATGATGATGGTAATGGTGATGAGAATCATGATGAACATGAGGTGATGATGATGGTGATGGTGATGAGGATCATGATGAACATGAGGTGATGATGATGATGATGATGATGAGGATAATGATGATGATGATGAGGATACTGATGATGATGAGATCATGAGGATGATGATGATGAGGATAATGATGATGATGATGATGATGAGGAGGATGATGATGATCATGAGGATGATGATGATGATGATGAGGATACTGATGATGATGAGATCATGAGGATGATGATGATGGTGGTGATGATCATGAGGATGATGATGATGAGGATAATGATGATGATGAGGAGGAGGCGGAGGATGATGATCATGAGGATGATGATGATGATGATCATGAGGATGAGGATGATGATGATGGGGGTGATGATCTTGAGGATGATGAGGAGGAGGATGAGGATGATGATGATCATGAGGATGATGATGATGATGATCATGATCATGATGATGATGATGATGATGATGATGATGATGATGATGATGATGATGATGATGATGATGATGATGATGATGATGATGATGATGATGATGATGATGATGATGATGATGATGATGATGATGATGATGATGATGATGATGATGATGATGATAATAATAATAATAATAATACCTAAGATATCTAAAATCAAAAAATTATTTTAATATGTTGTAAGACCTAAGATTTTGAATAATATATTCAACCCACTTATCTTACGGTAAAGTTAGGAAATAGTTAAAGGTATATATATATCTCTTTTAGAACTAAAATAAAAAATAAATAATAAAATAAAATGTTTGAAAAATCTAGCCGCATATAAATAAATAATATAGATTTTCCTAAACCAATACTTGTACTAAATAATATTTATGGATAATATAAAATTTTCATGATCATTACGATATACAAAATTGAACATTTTTGTAGTCACTAAAAATTACTAAGTCATTTTTTCACCCACCATAATAATAATAATATTCATATATTAGAAATTATTTATACATTAGATTCGTATATAATATTGATTTTATATTAAAGTTAATTGTTTGTGGTTTTTATCAGTCCAAGCCGGATTATAGATTTTAAAGCCCGAATATTCGGGTTTGATCCGAATATTTATTTTTCGCTCAATTTAAAAACAAAAACCCGTACCAAGTCGGATCCAGTTTTTCCACCACTAATTCACACATTATATTCCTATTTTCAAAGTAAAATTATTATTTTTGTCGGTTCAAATATTCTTATTTTGTACAATTATTTTTCTTGAGAGTTGAGAAATACATATCTCTATCACAATAGGATACTACCTTATTGTGTTGTATTTGAACTAGGAAACTTTACAAAACCTAAACTCTATATAATCTCTCAACCCTACGCCAATAGGATACGCTCATCTGCCTCAAACCTGCGCCACTTCTCCCTCAAGCCTGCGCCAATTCTCCCCGCCAATTCTCCCTCAAGCCTGCGCCTATTCTCCCTCAAGCCTGCGCCAATGGCTGCCAACAGAAGCACCGCTACAGCAAAACGGACAAGGTTCATCAACTTAGATGAGGATTCTTGCACATCTCCCATCAACATCAAGGAAGACAAGAATGATGCAATTGTGATTCAAATCTCTTCTAGGTAAATATTGTTTTCTTAACCTGAAAATAAATTTAACAAGTATGTTATGCGCAAGCATGTGTAATATTTTCTTTCAAAATCACAGTGATAACGTGTGCGAATATGCAAGTTTGAAAGCACATGAGAAGCCCAACAATGAGGTAATATTCCACAATCCACAGTATCAATACTTATAAGCAATTCTTGTAAAAATTGGTTTCTTTGAGAAGCTTGCTCTCCTAATCATGTTAAAACTTGAATCCATTCATCTACTATTTTGTTAATGGTATTTCTACTTGTTTTTTAAAGCCAAATAAACGAGTTAATTAACTAATGATATCTTTTTGTCCCATATTTCTTTACCCTTGCTTCTGAGGATTCTTTTATTCGATCAGTATATATGAAAAATGTCACATAGCAAAAGTAACTCTTGAAACATAGCACAGTACACTTTTAAGGCCTTACATAAACATTGAGACTCATAAGAAGGCCTATATTCTGGGAAATTCACTCAAACATTGATTCATATCTAATGAGCTTAACTAAACATATAATCAATTACTTTCTCACACCAGTCCGATTATTTTTATAAACACTTTTTTTAATTGAGAACATCAGAAAAATTGAGTACATGACAGTAGTTTTGTTTCTACTTTTGATCTCGAGTCCAAAAATGTAAATTTTATAACTACTATTGTAAAATAGGAGTTCCAAAATACTAACTTGTTTTTCGATGTCACTGAACTGATAAGGTCAAACAGAATCATACTACGTATAATGTGATCAAATAGTTAAATTTAACCTTAAAACCAACATGTGTGTCGGCAGACAATGTATCTTGTATAAATACAAACATACCAGTTGCTATTCACCTTTAAAATACATTTGAAGGAGTACAAAACTTACTCAGTGAATGTCACTTTTCTCCCAGTAATCAATAACCTAGTAATTGGACAAATGAAGCTTGAATTATATGAAGTATAAACATAAAAGAAAAATATAAATGAAAACATGATGAAAGAACACAATAAAATAAAACAACATAATATGCACTTGAGGTGAACATCATAATGGCATATTCACAAATATGTATAGTGCATGATATGCTTTAATATTGTCAATGGTGTACCTAACAAACAAAAAAACTAATCATATACACAGTTGAGAAAGATAAAATACATATGCTGAATTTAATAGGGTTCACATATCACTGTCATTTTGAAAGATAAAATATTTAACATACTATACTGAGTTTAATATAACATCAGTTAGGTACCGAAGCTTTAATATGTAGATTGAATGGCAGTGTTATATTACTAAGTGATCAGTTTATTCTAAAATTATATTAATAAAATATGAATAAACTTCAGTGGGCAAGTAGTTTATTGTTTTTTCCCTATTGATAGATGATCAAAAGGTAATATATCACATACATATAAAACAACTGCCAACTGCTAAGAATGTTCCTGATATTGCTAAATATTTTTTGATTTTTAATAATTGGCTTTTTAAACAGATTTGTAAGCATAGTAGTTCCACAATACATAGCTTAAACATATAAGTACTATGTAACTCTAGTAGTTCAACAATACAATGAATAGCAAACAACAGGTCTAAACCATCTTAATGGGCTATATAGCAATTTTATTCACTTAATTGAATAACTTGATTAGGTGCACAGACTTCATGACCCTTTAACCCTAAATTTCAATAGGCAGGTTGTTTATTTTTGTTAAGCTACTAAAATTCAAGCTAAACTGTTATCTTATTCTCTTAAACCAGAATTAGTATTTTGTTATTTGAGGTTTAGGTAATGTGATTGTATTCATATAAATTGATTACCGCCTTACCGGGTTAATATTCACGTATCTGCTGCATGTTGAGTTCCAAATTAGTGGAGTTCAAAGTTGTCTGTTAATTGTTTCCAGCTTGTAAATCTATTTGACATTCTGGTTTCGTTTCTTTTTTGAAATTCTTTTGTGGATAGCAGGTTCTCGCTGAACGTGTAAGCAAATTGGAATCTGCTATTGCCAGCATCCTTCAATCAATGGATGGCTTAAAGGAGAGCTTTCTGGATCAAAACAAAAAATCAAGCCCATGGCAAACACCACCTCAAATCCTACCATTCACCCCTAATCAACACCACACACCACCTAAATTTCATCGTGGAGAATCAAGCAAAAGAGTGGAAAGGAAACTGTTTTCCAAAAACTCAGGAAAAAATGTTTGTGACGTGGTATTAACAACAACCTGTTCACCAACAGGTTACTACATCAAATCCCAATTCAATGCAACGTTAATAGGAACCAACATACCACAAGTATGTATAATAACATTCACTCTTGTAGCTTTATTTTACAAATGCATTATATGATCTCATCTAGTTCTGCATCATTATGTAGTCTTTATTAAGAATGTTCCAACCAAAACAAAGTTCATTCTTGACTGATGAAGAAGTGGCAGTGGCAACATATATCTTTTGCAAGAAAGATGATGGGTAATAAAATATTTACTGTTTTTAATATTTTCCTTTTATATTTTTCCATCACATAACAAAATATATTGTAATATTGATGTGTCCCTTCTTTCAGCTTAGAGACTTTGGTCAGAACTGATATGGATATTTGCGACGGAAGTAGGAATTTACTTCTAGATTTAGTTCCTGGCAGAATGATCGACCAAGATGTAAGTCTCTAACCTTTTTTGTCAAAGTGTCTTTAGACTTGAATCATTATTTTTTAAATTCCAAGTCAATTCATTATAATGTCAGTTACACATTAATTACAAATTAATTACAGTGTACAACAGAACATTAAACAATAAGAGTACTCGTAAAAAGCTAGGGGTTGAATATTTGTTCAACTTGAAGTTAGAGAAATAGCTTTTGTTTTTGTTACAGTTTTGAGATTTGATTGTTTTAGAGAAACTTAATTGGTAGACTACTTTTGTTATCTGCATAAAAATTACTCTAGTTTTTTGTTGATTACTACTTAAAAAACTAATGGTTACGTTCGTCACTACAGGTTATTAACTTATGTGTGTGTATGCTCACCATGAATGAAAGGTTGACTTCTAAGCACACTGGACATTGGTTTTTGCCCACTACATTTTCGGTAAGGATATTAATACAACTTACGAATGTTTATTTTTAACACCTAATTAGCCATTATGAATGTATTCATTGTTTTCATTTTTACAGCAATCAATTATATCTTTTAATGCTCCCAAAGAGAAAATTATTTCACAATACAAGGATAGATTCATGGGCAAGGTTGATATGCTCCGCAAGGTACACATGTTTATATATAAAACCATGTATAAAACTCTTCCACATTTTTGAATTTCACTATGAAAAGGAAATCACATAATGTTTTATAAGTTATTAACTTAATTTACCGTAGGTATTTGTCCCAATCAATGATGGAAACTTTCACTGGTTTCTACTTGCTATTGACTTTGAGAAGCAGCAGTTGGTATACCTTGATTCGTGTCCTGATCCGTCACGAATGTCACTGAGAAGTAACAGCATCAAAATAGTGGTATAATAAATATCAAAATGCTTCATATTTTTAAGTATGCACCATAATGCTTAAATGTTATTTAATCATTTATTTTCAGGCATCATTTATGGAATATCTACTGCAAGATTATTCTTTCTACGAGTTTAAACGAACAAGCAAACACGTGGTTTCAGAATTCACTCATGTCACCCCAAATGGATTAAACTGTCAACAGTCTGGATCGTGAGTTTTATCATACCTAAAATTTATTAATACACATCTCAATGCTACTCTAATTTTTGTACATTATAACAGAAATGATTGTGGCGTGTGGGTTTACAAGTGGATGACATCAATGGGTAGTGATGGATACAAGATTGAGGTACCTCAATATCATTGACATATTTTAATCTAGAAAACGAAAACATATAGAGATTAATTATGTGATGATTTTTTTTATAATTTACAGGTCGATGATGGTACAAGGCTTAAGATGGCATTAGATCTGGTCTTGGATAAATTCAACATTTTGCATGAAGCGGTGTTGAAGAGATCTCTCGATCACATGTTTGATTTTACTATTAATGAAACCAATAGAGAGATAAATTAGAGTATTAGAGATACTTTTCATAGTTATTCTGAATTAAGTTAGTTACAATTTTGTGATTACTCTACGGATATCTTAGACCTGATTAGTTACAATTTCAGTTTTTGAATAAATTTTGTTTTGAATAAATTTCTCTATTCTTCGATTAATCTATTGTTATTTATCAATGTTTCGTATTGTGTATATGCTCTGAAGTAATGTGTTTGTAAATGCTAGAATAAAATTCTTTTCTTTGAAGTCAAAAAAAAGATTTTGGTGTGGATGTATAGCAGTTGCTATAATATGATGGAAAACATAAGTGCGTTTGCTTGAAGGGAGTTTACAGAGCGTGGAATCCGTGGATATGTTTTCCAATCATGTCTCAAGTCATGCGCTCTCAACTTAGGACAATGTGCTTGAGAAAGTCATGCACAGAATGTGTATTTATGCTCCAAAGTTTCAGACGTAGTGACACTAAATTTCCAACAAAAACTATCTTCTGCCAGAGAAGTATTTTTGCTGGACAAAAAGCTACAAATCTTCCTTAGACAGACCCTATATGAAGTGGCATCTATCATGCTACATCCTATAATTTTATGAAGCATACCCGTGTAAGCTCAATTGATTTGTACCCAGGATTAGAAAGTTTATGAGGTCATGAGTTCGAGCCCTGGAAGGGCTGCTTGAGGGTTAGTCAACCAAATAGTATAGACACCTACCGTAATAAAAAACTTACATATATAGCATTGACAAGGATACACAAAAACACAGGTAAAATGATACAACAATCTCTTAAAATATAGGATTGACTTCTACAGGCATGTATATATAGGCATGTATATTTGTAAATATAAAAAAAAATTGACTTCTACATATGTAGGTTCTACATTTGAAATACTTCATTCTTCCAACTATGAGGTTTTTACTTTGTTTTCTGTCCGTTCTAAAATAAGGTTGTTATTTACTTTTGAGGAACAAAATGTGTCCTTCATAATTTTTCCCCTTCTTTCTTCATAAATATTAACCATAAAATTTCTCTATTCAAGTCAAAGGGAGAACACCTTTCTGGGACATAATTCGTTCCACAGTGTTTTCCAAATTTGACTGAAAAAATATCAAGTAAATCACAATTCTGTGGTTCAAATTGTGAAAATTTTAAATAAACCACACAATAGAGTGAAAATGGTGTGGTTTCCTGTGATTTATTTTTCTTATTTGCTCTGTCTTTCAAAACACTTTACATTTCTAGAAGCATTGGTCTCGACACTGTCTAGGTTGGCACCTCACATCTGACGGAGGGAGTGGATTATGCTCTATATTATCGTAATAAATTGATGGTGGGTGGGATTCAAGAGCATATACTTAATACACACAAAGTAACAAATAGAAATGGAAGCATGTAGAAGCAGCACTTTGCTGAGGGAAGCCAGGAAGGGAAAAAATGGAAACAATAGTACAAGTGCACTTTGCTAACCACAATGCGCATTATTTACGAAATGGTTGAAAGACCTCAAAGAACATATAGTAGCAACAATACAGTAAATGATTTTTTACTTGCAGAGAAGATTTCAGGTGAAGAAGTGTTTGTGTAAAAAAGATTAATATATGTTTGTTATCTTCCATCAAATCACATATGAGCCAAGGTCAACTGGAGAATCAAATCAGAGATTCTTACAATAACCACAAGCAATCCATGGGAGGAGAATCATTGTGAGGAATATATAAGATCCAATAGGTGCCAGACGTCTCCTGTCATTGTAAGAATAATAAGGAATAAACATTGAAGTAAGTAATAATATAACCTGGACCTTGGAAAACTCTAAGTAAAATGCCTCAATTATGAGGACTCACCCCACCCCCTTTTGCCTAGTTTTATTACTTATGAACTATAAGTTTCAGATTGGTGCTAGTCATGAAGCCATAGTATGGTTTAGTGTCTTCAGATAGAGATGGCAAAGTCAGCAGAGTGGCACATAAATTTATACTACTCTAAATATTAGCAAATAAAATAAAACGAAATGACTTGGATTTACAAAAACAAAACGAAATGCATCAAAATGCACCCCATCAAGAGGCATAACTGCAGTTGAGAAGTATGGTGAAAAGTCAAAACCTATCCACCCTTCAGTATGCTGGTGCAAGACACCAAATTAAAATGCAGCAAAATTATATGTATATATGTTTACAGCACAACAACCGCTAAACAATGGGAGATCTAAAGTAGAGACTCGAGAACAGTTCTGTTGACCACTCCTATGAGAGTGAACATAACAGCCTACCATACAAAGCAGAAGAATAATGGTATGGAGTTTCATCAAAAGATTTTTAATTTGATATATTATACGTAAAATAGGAGTGTTTATAAATTATATTAGAGCATTTCTTAGAAAAATGGGCTTACATCAGTACATGTGGCAATTCATATTTGGTTACCAAAAATTAAGGACAAAAGAATGAGGGTTTTGTTCACCCTCCACGGAAGGGGTGAACAAAGTGGAACTTTGTAAACTGTGAGCTTATTAAGCTGTTCTAGCAGGTCCCGATGAATAAAGTAGATAAACCAACCCCTATTCAAGAATGTGAGAATAAATTCCTGAGGGTTTCAAATAAGAATTGAAATGATGCAGTAACACTAGCAGGACCAAGACCTGCACTTGCAGTTGAAGCTGCTTCAAATATTCAATAGCTTCTTCAAGCATTGATGCCTTGTCTGTCTACAATACGAAACAAGTAAACAACCCAAATTAAATGCCAAAACCAATAAATAAACATTAGGAGAGTGGTTAGGAGGGGTAATAAGGAAAATGTGATGGTGAATGTATACTCTGTTAGCATTTGGAATCAAGGTCTGTAAGGATTTCAGTTTCTCGTTGATCCGGCTTCTCCTTTTGTCACTTTAGTTCTATCTCGAGAAGTACAATTTTAGCTTTTTTGCATTCTAATACTTACAATTGTTTCTGTTTTTTCTTATTATTAGGTTCACAAAAAAGATCTCATTACTTGAGATTTGTACAAGTCATGCACTAAAACTTTTTAATTACTTATTCCAATATAATGAGTATTTAGTTGAAAGCCATGAAACAAATTTAAGTTTTAGCACAATTTTCATTTATGAGTGTGAAACTGTATTTTCCCCTATGGCCTTGGCTTATATACATCATACATGGGCTGTTGGGAAGAAAATAACACACATGAAGTTCTGATGCGAAGTCTATAAGTAGTAGAAAACCTAAAAATCAATAAACAACTGAGTCACACTTCGTATATTGTAATAATAAGACCCAAATGAAAAGAGGACGAGTGTTATAGGTCATATATCGCCACAACCTCCTCTCTTTTAATCTGAATAGGTTCTATATTGGTTATATGACATATTTGAGGCACTCTTTTTTTTTGGACCTTTTAATATTTTATGTTTTTTGAGTAAATGCATATTTGCCTGTTTACTTGTAATAAGTATAATCAATGACCATTTTATGTGTGCAGTAGTTCAAGCACATAAACAAATGAGCAACTGAGCGCTAAGAATACATCGAGCTTGCTGGCATAACTATTGACTCTAAAAGAATCTATGGTCTAGGTGAAGGGTGAGTCATTTCCTACGGAGTATTAGAGATTGTACATCCTGATGTTTGGAGAGTATACATCAATCTAAGTGACAACCAAGAAAACATTCTTTTGTTGTACGCAGACAAATAGTTGGCAAATTTTTGTACTAAGTCTTCCATCAGAAAAGCAATACGTAGTATTATCATGTCTAACTAATTTTAACAAGTTTATACTTAACGTTTTTTGTTTGAGGCATACAACACCTTACTTCAAAGCATTTTAGATCAAAGAATTTTATACTAAAAAAAGAAGAAGTAATAGTTGATTAAAGAATATAGTGACAAAATAATACTCCGTATAATACGCAGTATGATCCTAAATGTAGTTACAAAAACTCAAAGTCTTATGATCTTAATTAAAGACATCAATATGGTTACAAAAATTCACAAAAAACATCCTACGACATAGCTTAACATTGGGCATTATCCTACACGTGCAACGCGCGTCGCAAAACTAGTACATAATATAGGTGAAATGTCTGTGCAATACGGCAGCACAACAGCAAACCAAAACCAAGCGGTCCCTCTACCCAGACTGGAATGCAATATAACAAGTGAATCCTTTTTTCGAAATAAGTAAACTGAAAAGCAGCAAATGGAGGGAGATAGTAATTTACCTGCCGAAAGATAGCAAGATGTCCACTGCTTCCTCTTTAAAAATTTTAGAAAATGTAGGGACATCTGAAATTCTGAAAAACATAGAAATTGTCAAGTAAATTCAGCCGGAAGGAGATGGTTAATAAGAACACCAAGAGCATCATCCTTTACCAAAATTGCCAACAAAAGGTTGAAGCTGGCAAAAACTTGAATTGCCATAAGGCAGAAGCTACTTCCTCTAGGCCTCGGGATTTTGTGGATCAGATATGGTGACAACGATTTTCCCAGTAGTCTACAACCAAACATGTGAAAACTTAACAAATCAACCGTCACTTGATAATATAACTAGAAACCACTCCGTAAAAAGTTAAATCCTTTTCCAAACATAACAATCAGAAAGAGAAAGGAAATAACAGGCCCTGCACATTGTCCTAAGAATTGAAACGCACTAACAAACTGTAGGTGGGGTTTTTATAAACAAAGTAAATAATTGAAGCAGGCAATTACAAGATTAAGGAGGCGATAGCGACGGAGATGGCTATGTAGACACTGGGACATCCTCCTTTCACAGCACAAGTCGCCATTGTTGTACTGCTATCTATTGAGAAGCTGCTGGTCTTGAAATGTCCATCAGCTGTTTGTTCAAACGTGTATCAGAGAAAAGTCCATCTCGCCTCACCTATGAGAAAGTTTTCTTTGCATTCTCGTTTTTTTGGTCAAATAAAATTTTAAGAAGCACTCCAAATTTGTATTATCTATGAAGCATCAACCACTGTATTTTTAAGGGAAATTCAGAAATTCAGCACTCCAATTTTTTTTTATCATTCAGCACTCCAAATTTTAAAAAGCATTCCAAATTTGTTTCATCCTAATTACGATACCATTCAAAATGTTTATCAACTAACACACGTTTCTCATAAAAGCTTAGGTAGTAGTGTAATAAATTAAATGGCTAGCTGGAAAGCCATTTTATTCATACAAAACAGAGACATAGATTTCAGGCTCATATTAAAAATGAAAAATCGTACACAACATAAATAATAATAGGGCAAATCCTAATCAAATAGGGCATATAATAATTTTTGGAGGATATAGCAATTACCCAAACTCATCTACCAATTTTTGACATGGAACTTCCATTTTGATCATTAATTCGCAGGGCAAGGAGTATATACCTGGCTTTGGAGTCTCCAGAATCGTCGACTAAGCCAAGGATGTGTACTCGGAATTCACCCGCTCTCCCTCGAACATCAGGTCCTCTGGCGGAACGGAGACCGAACATCTTCGCCGTCGTCAACATCGCCAATAGCATATCCAAGTATCCAACTGATTGTCCATTGTCCGGAGCCCTAATCGCAATACAGACAACAGACAGAAATGCGATAGAGAGAAATGATAGAAACAATATACTTGAGAAATGAGAAAACGATAGAGTTTGACGGAAGACTAACGGATGTTTAACGAAGACCGATACAAATTAGATATCAAACAATATGGGGATATATTAGCAAATTATAAGGAGAACCGAGACCACTCGAAACCACATCCTTGCTGTAAAAAAAATGACACATGTCTTAACCTTAGTGGATGGGTACGGTACCCATAATTTTATGGGGGTACCGAAGTACGCACCAAAAATCTAACCCTAACCCCTAGTCGGATCACCAAATTCCGACTCTCGTATTTTGGAACCCAATTTCATTACCCGTATTTTGGCGTGTCAGACCAAAAAGTCCCGCATTTTGATAATTTCATCGATTTAATCTAATACTCCGTATGATACAATTAAATATTATCGTATATATAGTTTAATTTGGTTATTATTATTATTAATTTGGTTTAGTCCAACCTTTTCATGTGAAGCAGCCCGCACTTCCGTTTATGAAATAAGAATAAAAAATTTGATTCGTCATTTCCTAAGAATTAACGAATTCAAAATGGCATAATATTATACAAAAAGTAAATACTTCGTAAGTATTAATGCAGTAAATGTTAATCAACTACTCCCTCCGTTCTCTAATAGATGGGAGTATAGGCTTTGGCACAAGATTTAAGAAGAAATTAATACGGGTAGAATAAAAGGTGTAGTGGATTGTGTGTAAAGGAAAAAGTAGGAAAGAGAATGAGTGTAAATGAGTATATTTATTAAAAAAACTTACCAAAAGTGGAAAGAGGAACAACTAATAGAAAACATCCCAATGGGAAGAGGGCCAAGTATTAGAGAACGGAGAGAGTATATACCTTGTGTCAGAACCAATTCCGTGTGGGGGTTCAAGTGTTCAACCCGACAACCCCTATGGATGAATGATCTTCTCACCAAATTTGAATCCATGGCGAGCCATACGGCCATACCCATTATGTTGGTTGCAATATAATACTTTGGAGGGGTCTTACATGCAAATATGCAATACACCTATAGACAAAGCCAAGTAAGCATATACTAGAGATGACAGATGTACACAAGGGAACTTGACTCTTGTAAACCCGATATATAGATTGCTCGATCATGCAAACTTATTTTCCACCGCTACATCACCGTTCAGGGATGGACACATGAAGGGGCTGGAGGAGGCCTCAGCCGTGCAAGGAAAAAAATTAAGTATATATTATGTATAAATACTTTTAATCTATAAAAAATATGTTATATATTTTAAACTTTGACTTATGCAATGTAAATGTGTAAGAACCTCACCCCTCAACCATATATTTCTGGCTCCGCCACTGTCACCATTTGAGCTAATACATAATTACTACTCGAACATTCCTCTCTCCATCTCACTACATCTTTATTGGGTGTTATTATAGTTACTCTTTTCTAAATAGTTGTGAGCATCCTATTTTGGACCAACAATATAATATAAAACTTAATGAGTAGTTGTGTTTAATAGATACTGTCTTTTATTAAAAGAGAAAATTGTCAAATAAGCCTTCATACTATATTCGAAAAGTCAATTAGTCTCTCGTACTTTAAAAACACTCATTAAACCCTCAAACTTCTAAAAAAACGTTCTATTGAGCGTTTTAGCAGGTCAAAAACTAGTTTCCACTTAACTTTTCACGTTGCGGGCCACATGGCAATTATTTTCGTTTTCCTTTATTCTTCTTCATTTTCTTTTCTCTTATCTATTTTTCTTTCCTTTTTTTCTAGTTCCCATGTTCTCCAATTTACCTATCATTCCCCATCTGCCACAACCCACAACTGGCCACAAGAGACGTGGTTCCTCCGTAACGTATCCAAAGTACTGAGCCAAATACGGCTTTTCTTGTTAGGACCTCCGACAAACTCGGGCAAAGGGCGGAAACTCCTGAAAGGGCGAGTCCTCTCCTCTATGCGAACAGGAAGAGAGTCAACGGTGCTGGTTTAGACTGCAGTGATTCACCCATGTTGTTTTAGGCTCAATTAGAGAAACAAATTGAGATCCTCCAACATTGAAAAATTTGTCCTGGACTCACTTCCTCAGAACTCCTTGGTGACTTTGTTGAAAGTCCAAGCCGTTCATCCGTCGATCGAAGGTCCAGAGCAAACGCTGATATTATTTCTGTAATCTCTAGCGAATTCTGGAAGCAACTCCGGCTATGATAGCCTCCCTCCTCTATGCGAATGAAAAGGAAAGAAACAAAAAGAAACAAAAACAAAAACAAAAACAAATAGTGGGCTTTTTGGAAGAGAGGGGTTTAAATTGATATGAAAGCATTAGCATTCAGAAAGGGAATAAAAAAAGTAAGGAAACACATATAACCGTCAGCCCGCGAACCAGACTCGGAGTTAATCAATCACTTTCAAACAAGCAATATAACTCGCTAATCCATTAATGGGCAGACCTAAGCCACATACGATTGAAGCAGACCAAACCTTACCTAATCCTAATGCAAGGGTCTTACAATAATAAAAGTAAACAACAGAAAAATAAACAGTCTGATCATAAAAATATAATGCAAGCAAACGGAAAAAAGAAAAAGATGTTTCCAAACTCTAGCCTCTCCTGCGCTACATGGCGGCGGTTCAGGAGGGGGACGATCCAGTAGTACCGAAACTTCTTCCTCGTGTTGCCTCTTATTCATCAAGTTCTCTACCTATTAGTGAGGGCCTTAGAAGCTCCTCTCAAAACTTTTAGAATTTTTTTCAACTCAGCCCTTTGGATCATGTAGAGCCTACTTGGTCATACTCATTGTTGTAATTATCTTACAACGAAAATCTACTTCTCCTGCGAAATTGGGGGGTTAATTCTTGATTTTTCCTAGCTCACATTAAATCTACTAGCTCATATTATCGCCAAAGTGTTCATGAGAGGAGGAGAAAACAATGAAGAATGCATATTTCTATTATTATGGGTTTTAAAATCTACAATTGACATTGATATATTTCCAAATTTCACATGCTTCATCTTAATTGACCACCTCTAGATTTATATTCATCATTTTGTAATTTAAAAAAAAAAAAATCTCAATTGAATACTACTCCTTATTACATGTATTAGTTGGAATTCCCAGTCTCTTTAAAATCTGAATGTGTATACCGATATACGTCCGTTCCTATCCACATTTAAATTGTTTTTCTCAATACAATTGTTTTTCTAAATTCAGGAAATTCTAAACACTAGATAATTCGAAATAGGGAGTATAATAATAGATTAATAGGAGTACTACTCCCTATAATATACTCAATATTACTAGAAAATTAATAAAAATATGTCCTCTAAATAACTTCTAATAAAGTTGTACTACTGGGAATCTGGGAACCAAGTCAACCAAACCAACACACTTAACGTGTGTGAGATATCCGTTAGTTCGTGGAAGGTAAAGCACACACTTTTACATTTCCCTGGCTTTACAAAACTGGCAGGTTTTGAGTCATGCAAAACAAGCTGTATATTTTTTTCACAAAGCTTTCTCCAGAACCCCGCTCTGAGATTCATTTTGACCTACCAAGCTTTCATCTTCCCTCTGAAATTTTTCCTTCAGTTCTTTCATTGATATTTGATACTACTGAAAATCAGTTATATCAGTCAATATCATGGCTTCAAGTTTTGCCAAGAGACAGACCACCAAGTTTTAAGGACCTCTTCTTTTGAATTTTTTGATTTTTTTTTTTGAATTTTTTTTTAAGTTTTTGGGTTGGATTGGATATTTTGGGCCATTTGAGATGGTTTGAGGTGGTTTGGGGTTGAGGGTAGGGGGTTGATTAGGAAAACCCAAAAAAAACAATTATATAGAACCGAACTGGGCCCGGCCCGAACCGGACCCGGGGTTACCCGGGCCGGTTCCGGGCCTCCCCTACCTTGAACTGAGGCCCGGCCGGTTCAAGGCCCAAACCGGGCCCGGCCCGGAACCGGTCCGGGCCTAATTGAGATGTCACAAAAAAACATTATAACATTCACAAATAACACATAATAGTCATATTGATGTCTAAACATAGCATGTAAGCACAAGCACCACATATGGACTCATCGTTGGATTCTCTTCGGTTGAAGCTGGATTCACAGATCTCCTGGCGGTTTGACTCATCGCCGCTATGACAAATTGCGACTTCCTTCAAATTCATCTTCATTATCAACACCAAAGAGACCGGAAGAACGAAGGTTTGAAGTATGTTCATGTAACATGGGTTCAACTGAAATCCTCACGATGTACAGCAACAAAGCAATTAAAATCAGCGGAATGAGGCAGACACAGAATGTCATACCCAAACATAATGCAAATTCCTTCATCGTCTCAAAATATTCGTCTCGGGTCTCATAGGCTTGCGTGGATTCGTTTCGGTCGAAGCTGGGCTCACAGATCTCCCGGCGCTTCAACTCACGGCCTCTTTGAGATTTTCCGCCGCCGCCGCTTGGCAGCTCAGCCTGCTCTGAAGAACTTGAGAATACGGCCCTTTGACCGTTCGTTAACAGAGACAGTCCTCTGAGATCAGAGCGTTTGGGTTTAAGAATAAATTTTTGGTATATACCGCTAGGGTTCCGGGCTTCCGGCAGGGTAGGATATGGGGATGAGACCAAATTGGGCTCCAAATCTGAGTAAAGGAATCTGGGAAACTGAGTTTTTCGATGGGTGAAGAGGGAGGAGACGACGAATTGGGTGAGGACAGGCGAGAATCTCTTCTTCCCCGAAACACCATTCCTGGTGCAGAGATGAGGTAGAGACGAAGAAAGAAGATGTCCGAAAACCCTAGAGGTCTGTCTCCTAGCGAAACGTGAAGCCATGATATAAATTTAACTGGTATAGTCGTATAGAACAAAAGGAAACAATTTAATCGAAAACAATTCTCATTCTTATTCCTCTCCCAAGCTTTCGGTTATATAGACATTTACATGGGTCCGTTTACATCCTTCCAGATCCAGGAGACTTTGAGTCCTAACAGCAAACAAATCAGGATCAGTCATGCATTAATTAATAATCTGTAATAAATATAGCTTCCAGATCGGCATCGTGCATATGCAAAT